TTCTTCGATTCCGAGGTTCTTTATGGAAGTATACCAGTAGTCCAGATAGCCATTCTTCACCCATTCACCCTCAATACACAAGAAATTCTTCACCCTCAATACACAAGAAGACCAACGCTTCACTTCAGAACCAAGGTGCAAGTACAAGCAACAGAACAGCAGCAACAACAACCAGCATTGAGCTATATACCAGGCAGCGTGCAAGGAGCGAAGTGAGCAGGCAGCCAGCCGGCAAAGCGTGAATAGTGAAAGGTTCTTCAATAACACTATTCAATGGCGAGACACATCGACGCCACGACAAACACTTGATTGGAGCAGAAATACAAAACATAATATAGCAACGCCCGGACACGACACCTCCCCGCCTACGACCTGTTGAAAACTTGAAAGGAACCAACCTCTTCTAGAACAAAAGAACACATGATGCGCGTCAGCCTTACACAGACTCATACCCACAGCAGTGTTAAAAGTAAGGTATTCCGTTACAATTGCGCTCGAACAAGCTATTGTTCAGCCTGCAGTGATTGGTTCTGTGCTACTATCACTATCACAGCTAATGCAAGGCAAATCAAGACCAGGACGGGTAACAAGACCAGAAACGTGTCCAGGGACTGGTGACTGACCCGAACTAACTTGACTCGAAATCTATGCAGCTCCCGTGTACGTGGTGATGCCTTCATCTTCACGGTTCATCTCTCGTCTAGCTGTATCCAGCAGTTTAACGTCATGCTCCGGGACGGGCGCGTTGGTGATGGTGACCAGCCGCGGTCGCCGGGGTGCAGTTTATCGTCGTACCCAGGACGGGTTGTCGTGTGGTGACTATGACTGCTGGCAGCGCTCCCTCTCGCTGCCGAGGGTTCAGAATGTTGGTGGCACTGGACATCCTGGCGTGGTCGCCAAATGTCGTGAGTGGGGCAAGTAGTTGACGCGCACAGCACAACAGCATGCCGCAGACCACAGCAGACATAATGCAACGGATGGTGTGTCATTGCATGTATGCAGCCTAGTTCATATCATAGAAGGAGAGATGGATATACATTGAATGTAGAGTTGCTGCGAGAATAGCAACTGGAGCATGCCTGAGTGATCAATGTGATCAACGGGTCACTGGCAGAAGAATGCGTGGACAATCCATACAATACATGGCATCCGCATAAGCAGGCTCTCATTGGCCTTCCGCTGGTGGTGCTGGTGGCGGTCGGACTGGTCCAACTAAGCCGACCGTAGCCGACCGGAGGAAGTTGCACTGCCCTCCTCTTCCTCATCCTCCGCATCACCTTAGTCTAGATCAGTGTCCAGGTCCATCGCAACCTGGTCACCTTTGCCTTGGGATCCACCGCGGACCACGTCGGCATAGGAAGCCTTCTTGGGAGGTGCTGTACTGGCAACTCCCGCCATACTTCCCGCTGCCACCATGGCAGCAGTCACTGAGGCGAGGCTTCTCCGCAGGCCAACCTCACTTGGCCAAGTGAGCTTGCTGCCGCTCTTCCTGCTCCGCCCGCCGTCGATGGGAGCAGGACTTCTTCTCCTGTGCGGCGTGTGAAAACTCCTCGCCTTCCCGTTGCCGCTCCTGGGGTGGAGAAACATTCTTACTCGTCATCGGCAGTGAATCCCCAGTCCGGGCAGCGTCAGCACCGACGGAGGCAAGAAGAAGCTCTCTGACACTCGTTGCAAGAAAACCACACAGCCTCCGCAGCAGTGTGGCAGGCCGTTCACGACCGTTGGCCTCCAAGGACACCACTCCATTTTTGAGCGCCCTCCGAACTTCTTTCGTTTGGCGATTATTATTTGCCGCCATCTAGCCGTCCTTATGTGATGGACAGATACCAAATGTGATAACCGCGTATCCCGCGAGGAGCGTTCGGCCGCCATGTACGACTCCTGCCCAACACACCACACACAACAAGGTCACCGTAACCGGGAGGACGTTTGTTGTAGCGAACGTGAAGAAGGAGAAACGAGAAGTGTCACCAGCGGCCACGAACACTTCCTGTTCTAGGCCAGCTAAACCAAGGAGCAAGCATTAGTGCGAGTTACAGTGTACGGGCAAACGGCCAGCTGAAGAGTAGTTGGACTAGTTACCCTGGTAACGTATTATGGAGTGCAACAGCAATAGCACTGGCGATACTGTTAGGTCCGACTGTTGCTATCAGCGGGAACAGTACGGACGTACATGTGCACGTATACTATAACAATGATGACAGGTGAATAGTATCAACAGAAGATAAACAAGAGTGTGCAACTCCGCATCTCTTCTGCATAATCTGCAGATACCTCGGCCCACGGCGGAAATTGTTGACGTCACCTTTTTTGGAAGAACGAGCATTTTGCTGCAGAGCAGTGTAGAACACGTGCTGGGCACTGACCTTGTAATGTGAAGCCCGGCCAAGTGCACAAGGCAAAACTTCCCAAAAATCCCACAGCGCGTCGTGCGTTGTAGAAATAATTACGTCAACAATAATTTCCGCCGTAGGCCAACCCAACCGGGAGTTGCACACTCTTGTTTATTTACTCTTGCCAGTATGCATAGGTGGCACTGTCAGGGGAGATGCTAGATGGTGGTGGCACGGTAGATCAGTACGTTACAAAAGAGAAGCGGTGCTATACCAGCCCTGCATGTGCTGGAGGCGAGCGTGCATGAGGCTCGCAGGCCGTGAATGCATCTAGTCATGAATAGCACAAGTCATAGTTTCAGACCTGCAGGTTATGACAGTGGTATAAAACTGTGACTTTTCATCATAGCCTAGGAGCTGTGGCAGCTTCACGATCCACAGCAAGAAGGCAGCAATGCCTGTACCTATGGTGAAGTAACGTTAAAATAAAGATAACGTAACATAACTGTTAGCTATGGTGATTTGACTTTTATATGTTATACTAAGTCCACTATGCTTCCGAATAAATGCGGAAAGTGGTCGTGGGGCCCTGCTGCTCAGCAGACCTTGGTGGAATCAGTCTCACAGACGAAGCGGCGCGCTAGGAAAAATAGGGAAAAACATAAGAGAGACGAGGATAGGAATGGGTCGCAACCTCTATTTAGAGACTAGGATGTTGAGCCAATAGTAATATGTAAAGAGAAAAGGACCTATAAGTTACTAGTTATGACTATTGGAACTCATCGGAAATTTCCACACCTCAGCCTTCCAAGTTGGAAGATTGTTGGTTTGCGCTTCGTAGATGTGTTGGAGCTAGGTGTCAGGTCGTGGAATGTCTAGATATCCTTGTCAGTTTTGTGCCTTGTTGTCGCACTATCTGACTGCATAATATCTCGTTACCTTGGTGGACTGTTAGTCATAACTAGTAACGTTTTGGTCCTTTCTCTTTACATAAAAGAGAGAGGGAAAAATAAGACGAGAGCTAGACATGTCAAGTTGAGTGAACTGCACCTCCACATGAAGAAAAGCGAGAATTGTGGTGCAATTTAGTTTGAATGATACGAAGCACAGTGTGTTTTCTGTAATTCTTCTGCGGTATGTGTACAAAGTATAAAAAATATAAATCCAAATTAATGTCACACTCCAAAGGCAGCTCACAACAAGTGCCACACATACTGATGGCACTTGGGTCTTTTCCCCTCCCCCAGGGGACCATAGTCAGTTTCTGGAACGTACTACTGGAGGTGAAAGAAAGGGATTAATTAGAGACGATAAGATGAACGTTATTTCTGACGTGTTGCTTAGAGTTTAGCTCGCGTGTCGAAAAACCTGCAGCTCACGTCGAAATTGGGAGTTTTACGCCAAATTTGACGTGAAATTGCGCGTCACGTCGGAAATGACGTGCATCTTAACCTCTCTACTATGAAAGGATTGGGAGAACTTCAAATTCAAAGGATTAGTCAGGGGAGGGAAATGCCCAAAAAGAGAAAAAAAGTTTTAAAAACCATACCTGACCCACCAGGATTCGAACCGAGGACCTTGCTCGTCATGAGCAGCTATGGGACCAGGCCGAACCTAGAAGGCACTGACAAGTTTTTCACTCCAAAGGCAGCTCTCAATACGTGCCACACATGCTGATGGCACTTGGGTCTTTCCCCCTCCCTCTGTCAAGTTCGCGTCCTGGTGGGTCTGGTGTTTTTTCCTTCACTTCCCTGACTAATCCTTTGAATTAGAAGTTCTCCCAATCCTTCCAAAATTAAATTTACAAGTACTTCGAAGTAACATTTACAATGGCCAGGGGTTGTTCCTTCCATGGTGTGCTATTCTTCATGATGCTGTGGCGCTGTTCAATTTGTTTTCCCGTAGGTGGATGGGAAGCTGAATGAACTGCGTGATATGGTCAAGTTGAGGTATTTACAGCTAGACATGTAGTCTGGAGCTGCTCCATATGGTCAAGTTGAGATATTTACAGCTAGACATGTAATCTAATGCTACACAATAATGGTGAAGTTGAGATCAGTGTTGCAAGCTAGACTTGTAATCTGGTGCTACATAAAAGCGAGTACAGCCCTATAATTATCAATTACATTTGCCATAGCCTGCTCTTGATCTGTAGCCAAACATCATTTGCCCACGGGATGATTACCTTTTTGGCTTACTTTGAGGACCGCGCTGCAACGCACATCTGCACATGTTTCCTGCAATGACACCAGTGAGTCTTATTAGAATTGTAACTTATGTTGCACCGTTAGGCGCTGCATCTGCCGCTAGGGTTTATCGAGTGTTAGCGGCCGTCGTGAGTTCCCTTCGGGAATGGATACGATAATTTACTTTTTTACTTTTATTGCCAGCTGCAAGTAAGAAAGGTAACCTTAGCACTGATCTAGAGCCAAGCCAGCTGGTTGCAAGCAGCACATACTGCAACTTGCTTTGTTTATTCGGCCCTCAGCCCCACGCATATGCCTTGAGCGGCCACCTTTGCATTTCTTGCAGGTGTGTTGGTGCGTTTTTATCCCTTTTCTTGTATGTTGAGATTTGCAGTCTTGTACACTGCCGATATAATTGCATTACCCAGATTTCCAGATTTCCAGCAGCAATAGCAGCTTATCAGTTAAACTCTCTAGTATCTTGTGTGCACGCAAACAACTTCCCTTGAATCCTTTTCGGTAACCACCATCAACATTTCATTTTATCATGTTATTCTGATGTTTGTTTGTTCCGCCCAGTTGTCCAGTTGTCCTGTGACTAGTACCCCATTAGAATGATGGGATATACGGTCATAGTAAATTGTAAGGGCTTGTGTGTGTGTGTGTGGGTATCACGCACGGTGTGTGTGTGTATCACGCACGGTGTGTGTGTGTGTGTCATGCACGGTGTGTGTGTGTGTGTGTGTGTGTGTGTGTGTGTATGTCACTATTGTGTATGTGTATGTGTGTATGTATGTATGTATGTATGTATGTATGTATGTGTGTATGTATGTGTGTGTGTGTGTGTGTGTGTGTGTGTATGTCACTATTGTGTATGTGTATGTGTGTATGTATGTATGTATGTATGTGTGTATGTATGTGTGTGTGTGTGTTCAGGAAACATGTACAACAGCACCATTGCAAGCTTGCACACCATTGTAATGCAAACCTGACGAGGACACATGCCATGATGGTTATTATTATTTGCCGAAACGTCATGAACCGCGCCATCAAACGTGTTCGATGATTACAGAGTGATCGGGAAAGGCAAAGTCTGCTGAACACCACTTCCTATGTGTGAAACTAAAGAAACGGCCTCGGCCAGTACGGGAGTTTTGTTTGTGCACACTGCAGCTAACGCTAGTACCGGTTTTGCCATGGTACTGTATGTGCAACGCAACTGAGATACACTAGGCTGTGTCGCAGCCCAGAGAGACTACTGCTGGCGACTCGTAGATCATAGATCTACTGATACTCGTAGATCTGCCATGCATCAGCAGTCGTACTGAGTACTGTACTCGACTCGTCTGCACACTAGTGCACTGCGCCAGAAGTGTGCCAGAAGTTCCCAGAACGCAGGATTTTGTGTCTTTTTTTACATAATTTTCCCGCGGGAAGGTCCCCTGGACCCCCTCCAACACGGCCTTCGGCCGCGCCGACCTTCGGTCGTACCACTTCCAAAACCCCTCCTACGCCCCTGTATGAAACCGGCTTCAAAGAAACGAATACGTAGATTGTTGAATAGATTGTTGAGGTCTTTGAGCCATTGTACTCATGTATTGTACTACATGTACTGTGATAGAATGATACATGTACATGTACATGTACATGTACATGTAGCACAATTTCATGATTACTAGTTCTAACTTCACGGTCTTTGCCAGTCATTGCCCTAGCCTGGGTGAGGGTATTACTTGTGTGAATCCAATTCTTCTACAAAGTTACTTGTACAAGTTGTAGCCTGACAAGCAAAATTCCTGATACTCCTGCAGCACTCCCAACTCGTCACAACCACGTTCCATCATACAGTACTGTACATTCTTGTATGGATTTACCTTCCCAGTCTTTCATGGCAGGATTAGGGAGGTACATGTAGATCTGCCCGTTAAGAGCCTTCAGTAAATTGACTTCCCGCAGAACCCCGCAGTAGATGAGCGCAGAGAACATAAGAAGAATGTGATCACAATACAGGCTGCATACTGTGGCCTCGATCCGAGTGAGTGACCCGGGGAATCATCATGATCATGGAGATGCCCCGGAGGGTCCGACCTTGCATGCCAAGAGCCCCATGACTATGAGGGGCACTGTTGTCAGTGACTCACTCAAAGTCGCACCACAAGAAGGGGTCCGCAGGGAATTGTCCCTCCTGTGCGTGGCCCTGTGGAATTACGAGTACATGTATATTTCTTTGCAAAACTCCAGTCTGAACTATTATAAATAATTTAATTCAAAATCAACCCACAGTTCTGTAAATATTCCGTCCAACCTACATGTAAGTGAACATGTGCATTACAGATGTTTATCACTTTCTTAGTATTGATGCCATACCTACGCAGTCAGATATTCCTGCATATTTCACTCCTTATATATGGCTATATAGACTGCTTATATTTGACTCCATTTTAGGGATACGACGACCCCGAGGACGACCACGTCTGAGATGGATCGACGTTGTCAAGAAAGACTGACAATGCATTAATCTGTCGCTTCTGGATGCTGTGCAATCTGCTTCTGATAGAGCTGCTTGGCTCGAAATTGTTAACAGATGCGTTGACCTCATGCAATGAGTGATATGCGAACTGTCATTATTATCATTATTAGGGATTGAACACATGCTTTGGTTTGTCGTGACAAATCTAATATTGACTTGTTGTTATTGTTGTTGTTGTTTTTACATCGCAAGTCAAACGGGAAATCATGCCCAATGTTATGATGACGATGGAAAGGGAGAAAAGATTTAAGAACAAGATTAGATAACCTGGATAAGTGGAGTGAAGGAAAAACAGTGAGCCTCTCAGGGTAAGGATCATCTTCCATCTTTTATTATTCTTTATTTCCACGATGGCCCATGGCCAATAAGGAAGATAATATGATTCAAATCAGTCCAGAATCATATAAAATCAGTCTAGCAAGTAAGGAAACCAACACATTGCAGGGGGATGGGGTCACGATGGGGTACAGTGTGAGCTACTACAGGAGCATATGGATGATAGAATGAGGCTAGACGCCATTGATTTAATCTTAATTAACATTGGCCATGAAAGTGAACTTTCAATAGGCCTGGGCGGATAATGCTAGCATTATAAGTAGCATTATAGTGTGCGATTTGCAACGAGCATTATGCTAGCATTATAACTAGGGGTGAAAGTTGGCACTGAGATCCCGAGTTCGAGTACTCTGATTTTCTCCGATCGAATATTCGAGTATTCGAGTATTTTTCATCTCCTAAAAATTGTACACAAAGGGCTTTAAAATAACATGATACAACCCTGATTGAACCGAGTAGCAGTCATTTTTCTCGGGTATATTGGTTGGTGGGTCATTTGGGCTCTCTCTACTCGTGAACAAATGTTCACCACACAGTCTGCACATCACCATCTGCCGACTGCTGCCCTGAAACTGCAGATTTCTGTAGTAAATGCATGTACCATGTATGAACGAGTACTCTGATTTATTCCCAGTACGATTATTTTTGAAAAAACCGAGCGAGTACTCGAGTACTTGGTATAATTGTTTCACCCCTAATTATAACACTACATTTCCACAAAAGTGGCATTATACTCAAATTTAAATGGCCCTTACTTCTGCGAAAACCAGGCTTTATAGGGTGAAAATCATTTTTTTGGAGAAAAATGATGTTTTGTAAAAAGGTTGTGTCGCGTGCACGCGGACGCAGTGTCAGTGAAGTGGAACCAAAGAGAATCTCGCTTGTTTGAAGAAGTATAGCTAGCAGTCATGGCAGGAAGGGTTTCAGAAGTCAGGGAAATCAAAGGGCTTCCGGTAGAATAGTCTCTGCTACTCCTCTAGTCACAAAGAAGAGTTTTTGAGCGGATTGAACGGATTCCATCTCCTACACTCAGGGATGGCGAAAATTCTGCGCTAGCTGCTGCTTGGGGAAAATGGTGAAGAAATCGTCTCCAATTATAGTCGTGATGGCGATAGTGAGGAGAACCTGGACGACATCGATCCAGCCAATCGAAGTACGGAGATACTAGCTGCTTCTGGACCTCACACAAAGGGAACACGCACAGCAGAGCTGATACGTTTGCAGCAAGTTCACGAGGAAAAAGGCTTGAAGTGCAGTGTGAAAACTGTTTTGAATTGAAGTCTTTGGCGATGAAGTGCTACTGAATGCCAGGCGAATGAGCGAGCAGATCGAGAGGCCTCTACTCGAGACTTTCCTCGCTGGACAGCTAGCTGCAAGGGATTGTATGGAGCAATAGCAGCATACAATTAGCATTATGATCATGATTTTCTAACATTTTCCATGCCGTCTACGTAGAACTACGAAACGTGCGCAATACTGCCCAAACCAAGCCATTTTCCATCCTTACTACTGGTGAATTGCTGGAATTACAGAGGAACAGCAGCATTATAAGTAGCATTATGATACAGTTTTTCTGGCATTGCCATTAGCATTATCCCGCAAAATAACTAGCATTATCCGCCCAGGCCTAACTTTCAATGGACGTGTGAATTGTGATGTGGTAGGGCAGGACAACTAGAGGGGAATACTAGACTGTGAGATCTCGAAATAGTTGTTTTATGTAATGCATTTCGTACCAGGTCAATATAGCCTATTGTAGGAAATAGAAAACTCGTAAAAGACCTCGGTTTCACCTCACACACTCAAAAGACCTCAGTTTCACCTCGGTCTTTTACTCGGCTTTGATACATGTATACTCTAATTTCAGAAATTTTAGGTGCTCAATATTTTCGGTATGAGGGCAACAGGCCAGGTTAGGTGAGCAGACATTTTCGGTACAGAGAAGCAGTTCCCTATTGGGTTATGTGTGGTAGTGTTTGTTCGGTGTATTGAAATTTTAGGTATGAAACAGATGCACCGAAAGTACCGAAAATAAAAGTACACCGAACATTTGTGAAATTTAGTAATTATTGACCTCGCACTCAGTCAACATTACATGGACAGTCATGTACACATGTGTACATGTAGATACATAAAAGTCTGCATAGCAGTATTCGCTTTTAGAAATGCCTGCCTCAAGTACTAATCATGAATGCCTGAATGTACAACTACAATACAATGTAGTAATTTACAAAGAGAGGTTTGGTAAACTGGGGGGGGGGGGGGGGGGGGGGGGGGTCTACCGGGGAAAGTGGTCAATGCGCAGAGCGCCCAGTTCACATACAACTACACTTACAAGTGTCAGAAAGAGATAGAGGTCCGATCGGAATTCGTTGTAACCTATAAGTTTCCTCAAACTATTATTACTTCGCTGTCCGAAGTTCAGCGCAAAGTAGAGAATGATTATTATTGATACATGTCACAGCGTATTGCCATTGGTGGTGGTACATGTACAGTGGTGGACAGAATTATTGTCCCACCCATGCTAAAATGTGATTCAGTTGATTGTTACTACCTAGACTCTAGCTGATGTGATAAAGACATTAGATACCTGATAGAAAAGGCAAGTTTTGCTTGTTATATGGTTTACAACTAGTAAAAGCAGATCTACGTGAAGATAATAGGGCAACATGTGGGACAATAATTATGGCCGAAACCCAGTATATACGGTAA